TATCTTGGAAGTTGTCTCTGTGATTAAGACTCCCTCTCTGGTGCTCTTTTTGCTATGTTCCTAAAGTGTCAAGGGTTATTAAACAAGTTCTTCAGTCAAAACAGATCAATACACAAAAAAACAGTTAACAGCCTTTCCTTGTGAATATTACTGTGATCTATCAAACATACTATTAGTACTGGTACACGTTCCCTGTGTCTGTTATGTGGTCAGTCAAGTACATCAAAATGTAGTTTGTGGATGCATTGAAGAATGATTATGCTTGCAGTTATTAACTCTCTGAACTAACCTCTAATTATAACCAGAGGAATCTTTGTCAAATGGATTTACTTTCTTCTACTATATTTAATATAAGTGTTTTTCCCAAACAAGTAGTTGCCTGTTTTATTAATTTTTTCCATGTTGAGCTGATCACATGTCACATAATTTTCATTGTTTCTGCCATCTCAGTATTTGTCTTCCTTTATGTTTCCCAAGAGAAATGGAAGAACCGATTGACATGTATCCCCCCTCTTCACCATGCCATTCTTGCCCTACACAACTGGGGTAGCTTTTTTGCTAGTTTATACATTTTTAAAGCTTGTCTGAGATAGCTTAAACCTTGCAAGGGAATTTCTTTTTGTATCTTAATATGTTAATTCATTTTTTAGTTGGTATATGTGTTGGGTTTTTTTTGTCCCCACTCCAAGTTAACCAACATCAAACCAAAGTGTTCCATGTGAAAAGATCCACCTGACAGTACAGACTTTCTGACATGTTTTTCTTTTGTGTTTAGGCAAAATTCTGTCACGCTCATGGAAAGAAGCTTTTCTAGTACCTCATCTCATCAAAAGCACAGCACAATGTAGTGTCCCCCTATATCCTTCACTGGGCACTCACCTCAATTTGCTGAAACTAGGACACCAGAAGCCTAAAGGCACCTTTTATATGCCTGGATATCAGGTTCAATTTCCTGTAAGGCTGTTATTGCATATTATGCTCATGCATCTTTAATCTACACCTGTCCAAAAAAAAGTGTCACTGTCAGGCAGCACACTGACAGGCAATTTAGTTCCACAGCTGGATGTTCAAGACTGGATCCTGCCATAGTGTCAGCCACATCACTTTGTCCTAGCATTCCTATGCTGAAATAGCAGAAAAACCATCCTACGTATTTGCAACATAGCCAGATGATTTGGGTGCTCAAGCTGCTGTTAATATTAATTACAATAGTAATTTCAAGAGCTTTAAGAGCTCTGAGCAACTAAAACACTGGTCTTTCTCTGTGGGTGGTTTCCTTGATGTATTCTGCTTTACCCTGATGCTGTGAAGAGAGCACAGCTTTTGCAGCATTTTTTCATCACATCACTGGGCCAGATGAGATGTTTAAATGTTGAAAGTCAAGAGGGATTTCTTCCCTGCCTGTGCTCAGCCCTTAAATTTGAAAGCAATTATTTCTATGAAACATGTAACTCAGAAGTGCCTGATTGCCAATTTCTGTGGAAGAGCTGAAGAATTACTTCACTACTTGATTGTCTGGAAAGTGGATCCTTTGCTTGCTTTCTGGCTGGAAAGTAGATGTGCTATTTTCTATATATAACTGGAAAAGCTGGAAGAGTGTCGGCAGAATCAAGTCTTTGGGACAGAGGAAGGAATTTTTTTTCCTTTTTGGTCATGCCCCAGTGACTCTGAGGCATGCAAAGGATTTCAGCCTGTGCTACCACTACTTCTATCCCCTAGCACTGCTTCCTGTCCCCACAGACCTCAGCTCATGTCTGTCCTGCTCAAAGCTGACTTGTGGCATTAACAGACTCAGACATGAGCCCTTCCCAGGGTAGGACATAATGAATACTAGGCAGGACTTGGAGTGCTCTCTGTGCCAAGCTAGTGGGTAGATGTCTTAGCCTTTATCTCCACTTGCCACTGACAGGCAAGCTGCTCAGTTAAAGACTCAGTGTAATTCCTGCAAGCAGCCTAGATGTGAGAAAATTCTAGCTTAGTGGAAAGAGAAGAAGAAATCAGAGTAATGACGTATAGAGTACTTTGGAGATATCATGTACTTAAAAACCTGTGATCACAGCTATAGTTCACAGGGATATAAGTAGCTAACAATTTTGAGAATCCTGGTAGCTCCCACTTCTCTTGGTTGATTAAAAGCTTTGATAGCTGAGGTTTCTGTGTCATCCTAGCAAACATTAAAAGTACTTAAGAAAAAGCAGCAGGGCTCTGGTTCACAGGCAGAATGTGGTAGATACAGCCTTTGCTTTGCTCTGCAATGTTTAATGCATTAATTTTGGTGACATTGAAACACTTGTGGCTCCTACAAATGGAAATTTTATTTTGCAATGGAACTTCTAAATTAAAGGTGTTCCTTACAGAGTACTTTCAATATCCACTTCGGAGGAGCAGCTGTTGGCTTCAGTCAGTAGTACAATATTACAATACTTGTAGTATTATAATGTCTGTGAACCAAAAGTTGTTTCACAGAACCACCAAAAGTGAAAAAACTCGCTGTGCTTCCAAAGCATCTACAAGTAGACACACTAAGTAAGAATTCAGTGTGATTTTTAACTATTGTTTTTATAGGTGTAAGGACATCCACAGAAGAATTAGGCTAATAAACTTGCAATGTTTACTCTGTTCATGAAAAATAAAAATATTGCAATTTCATAGTACAAAGTTGGATTCTTTAAGTAAATTGTTAGTGAGATCTTTATTTTCCATTTCCTATTCTTGAAGAAGTTATTAATTAAAGTACATAGTAGACAACAAATTTCCTTTTTCCTGAGGCCTAAGTGAAACTGTGGAGTATTTCAGAGTGGTAACTAAAATATAAAAGATAATATCAAAACTTAACTACACATTCCTGAGGCTTTTGGAAAGCAATATTCCCAAATGTGAAGTCCATAAAGGAAAATAAACACTCTACCACTTATGCTTATAACAAGCGGTTTTAGAAGTGTAGATGTGTGGAAGGGAAGGAAGGATACTTGCCTTGTGGAAGGAGTGTGTAGAGTATAGCTATTTTTGTTTGCATAGTGTTCCCCAAATAGGCTGAAAAGCAGTCAAATTCTGGGTTGTGCAGACCTGAGCAGATCCTATAAAAACCCACCTGCAAAACAGTGGAAATGTACTGGGAGGATGACCCACTTCAATTCCCATTTTTGTTGTGCTGAGAGTACCAGCTCTACCCTTTAGCTCCAGCCCAGGTGAAGCATTATAAGAGTGATTGTGTCAGTTCCAAGCAGCCATGCAGACAAATATTGGGCCTGCAGAAAGTCTAAGCCCTGGATTCAATGTGAATGTCTCTGCTGTTCCCACAGGTTGATAAATTTTCAAAACATTGAAAAAATAGGTACCAAACTTGGCAACTGTTTAACAGACTAAACTAGTAGATTTATCCATTGAAAATCTCTTTCTATAATTACAGTCAAAATGGCAAGCTATTGGGTCATATTAAATTATTAATGTTTCTGCTGAACATTAAAAGCCAATTTTATCTCTGTTATAAGTGAGATACAGACACATTTCCTTGGCTGCCTCACATGCACCAGACTAAAATAAGTCACAGGCTTCCTCACTTCAGCTGAACGTTCCATTTGCTGTGCTGTACTGCCACTGCCTACAGTACAGCTCTGTCATCAAAGATTAGTAACTTGGGTACAAGAGCCTCTCATTGAACTATGAGCTGCGTAAAGCTGTTCTAGGCCTCAAGAGCAAGGGACAGTAAAAATATGGCTTATTGCTGTGGCTAATGTTTGCTCAAAAATAAATTAGTCTGCTGAGAGTGGGCAGTGGTTTATGTGTGTTGGTGATGTGCAGTCCTTCTGACACACTCCCTCTTTTGTGTATTGTGGTCTCATTAGAATTCCTTTTCTTCTCTCTATATAATAGAATTTAAATAATTCAGTATACTCAGTATTTGGTTAGATGAGGAGCATTTTAACATTATGATGCATTTACATTTCTCCTTTTTCAGAGAGAAACTTGAAAGTCTAACAACCCAACCTACATAGGTAGGAAGTAATTTTCTCCCATGTAACCCAAAAATGAACCTGAGGGATGAGACACATCACCAACATCTGTGTCTGTTTCTTGCTCTGTCACTGCTAATGCATTAACTTCATCCTTGACACAAAGGCCATGAATCTTTTTGAATAAGGGTGGCATTGTCTGTGTGAGGAACATGTAGAAGTCCATGGAGAAACATGGCCACAGGAGAGCTCTATTCTTAACAAAACCTGCTTTTGAAGAGGGATTAAGGTAGAATGGAATATAAATTGCTAGTGTTTTCCTCTGGGATGTTGATACTTAAAAAACACAATGGAATGTATTCTTTCTTATTTTTGAAGGCAAAGGCAGTGGGAACATGTTTGCCTTTGGGCTTTTCTTATTTTCTTCATTACCGCTGCTTTAGACACAGCAGGATATGTTTTTTTTTTTGTAGTGAGACTAGGAAAAAAACCAAGATGCACTTGAATTTTGAAACACCTGGAAGAAATTTCTTGAGGCATTTTATGCAGCAAAAATGCTGTCTGCAGCAAATCTGTCTCCTGACTTCTGTGAAACTGAACTTTCTACCCAATAATTTTTTCTTCTTCTAGGGCATCTAGTGCATTTTTCTTCCTCTCTAACAGTGCTGACAGCAATGCTCTGGGTCCTTGAGCTACATGCTCTTGTGGGTCAAGCAATCCCCAGCAGAAGGCACCTGGCAAACTGTTGCTTGCCCTCATACAAAAAATGCCACATCTCTCAGCAGTCACTCAGGTTCACTCAGTGGTCACCTCCACAGCTGATCTCTTTCAACCTCTTCACTTCTTCACTCCCTCTTGACTTCCCACTGTGAAATGACATTGCCATCAGTCAAATAATTCCTTGCACCATTAAGCAGTTGTCAGCGTACATCTTTCTTGTTCAGTTGCTACAGCAAATGAAAAGCTTGGTCTCTGATTCTTCCTATACATAGTTCCCTCTTTTTGCAGTGAAGCGTTTTATACCTTTCCCTCTCAGTGTTGATCAGTATGTCTGTTCATCCCATATGCATCCACCTCACTTCTCTTGTGAATGATTGTTCTTCAGAATTTGTCCAGGTAAGTGTGCTCTCAAAAGTTTAATTTGGGATGCTATTTTGTCATAGAAAGTATTCATGGAAAAGGACAAGCATTTGGTTTTCTTATTTTCTTAGTCTCATAGAAAGAAACTGGGCCTTTAGCCATTCTCAGCACTCAGGCTGGAAGAGAGAAGAGGTGGGACCCAACCCTGGTGTCAGCTGATGTAACCCTGAGCAAGAGGCACATTGCCCAGTACCCAGGGGTGTGTGTACAGCTTGTCCCCAGCATTTCCCACATCCCATGACATGCTGGCCAAATGTGGTCATCTTTTGCCCAGGAATGTTTATATATCCCCCCTTCTCTCATTCTGTGCTTGACTGGCCTGAAGACATGCCTCAATTACAGGGATCCCTCATCATCCTGTCTTACCAAGAAATTATTTCATGGGGGTGGAGGATTATTTTGAAAGTGGCTTTCCTTTTCCAGTAACTTTTATCTCCACACCAGGCAAGTGATGAACATTTTGAGGAATTCCCAGAAGGAACTTTAAGGAAATGGTTTATTCTATTTGCAGAAGTCCTTATTTTGTTTATAAAAACTTCCACATGCAGTCTTGTTGTCATGTCTCTTTCAATATGATACCCCTGTGTAAAGGGATTGTTTTTCTTTCTCTCTTCCTCTCTTTTTCTCCCTTCTCCATGGGTTTCCTATTTTAGCCTCTTGTGTCCTTTCATCATCCTTATTTACTGCCTCCCAGTTTATGCAGCTACTGAAATAATTATAGATGTTTTAACTATTTTGAGAACTATTTTTAAATTCACATGTGAATTATCAGTAGATTGTTGGAGATTGGTGCTGGCAACAAGTACACTGGTACTGTAAAATGAAGCCTTAGTTTTTGTAAATTTTTTGAGATTTTAGACTATAGATACCTTATGCTGGCATGATTAAACCTCCACAATGTGTATGTAGAAGCCAGAGATGATTATCTTGCATGTTTATACAATGTGTTCAGTTTTTCAGCATTTTGAGGTGCATCAGCAATGCAAAATGTATTTCCTTTGATGGAGCCTGTATATGTTATCAAATATCCTCACTTATCAGAGACAGAAGAAACAGTGATATCTTTATACAGATGAGAAATGCCAGATCTTGGAATTAACAGTGTTGGGACTAAGGAAGCATTTTAGTTTCCAGTTTTGTTCTGGTGGGGTAGTAGTAGCAAAAGCCAGAATGTATTGGCATTGGAGGCTAGCTTTACCTACTAGCTAAAATCAGGACTCCGAAGGCCAAATAAAAGAGGTTTCTGGTAACAAAGGAACCTGAAAATCTATACAGCCCTTAGAGGTGCTGGGTGCCTGTTGAGCTTTGCTTGACCTCAGCCTTGCATGCTGCTTGTGCACCAACCAGCACCTGAACAGACTGCCATTAGCTGAAGGTACCTCTTGTGGTAAGAGCACCACAAGAGTAAGTGTGGGAAGTTGTGCAAGTAAGTTGTAGGTAACTTGTGTGGTAAATTGTGTAAGTACCAATTTACATTTACAAAAGAAAAATAGAAATCTTAAACCATGGCACTGGGCAATGAAAACAAACATCTGGCCTCAGCTTTCTGCAGTAATGCTTGGATATAAAGTATGCTTCCTTTTCCCATAACTCACCTATTGGAAACGAAACTGAAAATTCCTTTTTCTTACAGCTGCAGCAAAAGCAGGCCCAATCCATTTTTTCTTTATTTTAAATGTGATAAAAAGAGATCTACTTAGACCGCAATGTTTGCTGCAGTAGTAACATGCTGCAATATTTCAGGGTCCCAAACAAAGCTATTGTATCCTATGTATGGACCCAAAAAGGTGCTGGATTTTTTCCATATCTCTTTCTCCCCTTTCCTTGTTTCTTTTTTTGTCTCATTTTTTCCCCAGATATCTTAATGTATCTGTTAATCATCAGCATTTATATCTCATTACATATAGGATGTGTGAAAGGATCCCGGGAAAGTCACTAGATGATGTCTTGCTTTTTAGCACTAACTTGAAGAGCTTTTCTGCAAAAAAAGATCTCTCATTTTTATTTCCTTCAGCTTCTGTTTCTGGGATACAGTAATTTCAGCATGCAGGATACTAAATGCTCGCTTGAAACTTCTGTGACTCCTCTTTCATTAGGAGAAACAACGATTCTTGTTTTCTTCAGCATTAGGTAATGTACCTTGAGAGGCTCATCCTTCTGTTGCCTGCCTCAAAGAAACTGCACTAAAATGAAACAGAACTTCTTGTAGTCAGAATAAGGAAGAAGAGAGACCTGAATATCCTCTCTTAGGCTGTTGCTATGATGGTGTAGTCTCTAAGGAAGGATACTTTAAGTCATTCTTGGATTGACTAGAAGGAAATCTGACCTGATCTTCTTTCTGGGGAGGAATATAAGAATAATAAAGCAGAAAGTGTTGAAAATACTTTCTATTAATTGGCATGGAAAGTAACAGATATAGATCTTTCCCTTTAATAATTCTACTCAAACTTATGTGAAAACAGGAGGTAGGATGTCTATTTTATTTTTTAAAAAATATTTTATTCAAGACCTGAATGGAAGTTACTGCATAATTGGCTCAGTTCCAATTACAAGATTAATTTTGTGAGTTATTGGACTTCACTATGGGCTGGGGTTATCACATTGTACTGTAGCTGTAGCATCTCCTGGATTTGATGCACATACAATTGTAAGACTCAGGATTGTGATGTTCTTGGGCAGAGTTTGTAAATTTCCTCATCATCTAACCTTCACTATTTTTTCATGTCGCACTACAGGAACAAGCTCAATTATTCTTCAACAGTTTCCCGTTTTTCAAATCGCATACTTGCTGATATTATATATGTCTTCTAGGAGGAAAATTCTTCCAGTAGTGGAACAGATTCCCTAAGCAGCGGAGAGATTCCAAGAAGCCGGTCAGAGGGGACTTTGATTGATGTGGATGACCAGCCACCTTCAGACAGCTACAGTATGGCTCTTCTGCTATTTTCTGTACTAAGGCTATCCAACTAAAGTCTATATTTCTGCATAACTCTGGGTCAGGCAGGTTGGGAGGAAGAGCTGAAATCTTTAATGTTACATTTACAAATGCTACTTAGAGTAAGTTTACTAGGGGTCAAAGTGGGGAAGAGAAGAGGAAGTTCTTAGCCAAACTAGATAAATTTAGGGTTTTAAGAACATGAAGACAGGGTAATTTGAAGGTAGATCAATTTAAAAACTGGAGTCTTGGAAAAGTTGATTTAATCTCCTTGCTATTTTAACCCCAAAGCTGAGAAAAAATTTGGCCTCCACAAGGTAGGCATTCTCTTAGCTTCTTGTCCAGTAGCAGATGTAACAGCAAGTCTGACACTTGCTGTGTAAGTTGTGGAGAAGGAATTATTTCTTTGTGGACGTGCTGCACCCCAGTAATTGTATAGTTGTGCTTTCTCATGCTCTTGGCATGATAAAGCATCTGTCCTAGTGACTCAGGCTCTGACGGAGTTTTCTGCTTATACTTTTTCTGTAGAAACAAGCCCTTTAGGATGGGGAAAAAAACCCAAACAAACCCCTCATGTTTATTTTGGGCTTAATTAGTCAATATTTTTAATATGCAATACTGATCTGACTGTAATAACATCACACCATGAGGAAAGATTTTGGCCTATGGGAAGAGACAAAAGAACTTTTCAGTGGTGCGTGAGCACCATGTCTCCCTCTGGTGACTCTGGTTAAGACAAAGTGCTCGAGGAAAAGAAGGCTGCCCCTGGGCTCAATCCCCCTGGCAGCTCACCTGGAAGGCTCTTGTCAAGACAATGTTAGAGCTTTGTAGATAGGCAGCTGGCAAACAGGTAAATTCCACCTTGGTTCTTCCAAATTGGGAATCTTCTGGAACCATGGAAAAATGTCATGGTTTTGGCTTTTTATTACAACTTGAAAAAGGAAACAAAAAGCGAAGTACTAACATTTAATTTTTTTTTCTTTTTGTGCTGTATGCACTATCATGCTTGCATTTGATCAGTATAGAGTAATTTATAATGTAAGCTATAGATATGGTGAAAAAAATAGAAATAATGCCTTTTCTCTCTAAAATTTAAACTCTGCAAGAATATATAAAGAAGGGATGATATAGCCTTTATATATAGAAATTTTAAAAAGGCAAAAAATAGAAACCCTTAGCATGAAAAGTTGCAGATATTCCATTGCAAGAAGGGTGAGTTGCAATCAACTGTAAACCAGCTTCTCTGAACAATTGCTAATTTAAAATGTAAGGATGTTTCTTCTTCAGAAAAAATAATTACTACTGCTAATAATGAGTATTTTTATTAGAAAACATATATAAATATCACTTATGCACCCAGGTTTGTCTATTTAAATTCAATCTCAGAAAATTAGTAGTCACACAAACATTTCTCTCCAAAGTCGCACAAGGTCTCATAAATTATATCAATGATTGTTTTCTAATGGAAAGCTAGTATAACAAATTCCACACACATGGAGATAAATTGTAAGAGTGCTGTTATCAATTAAATGCACATGCACTAGCATGAAAAGGTATCTTGAATAATGAATTTATCTGTACAGTCTGCAGTGTTTGAAAAATGAAACTAGTTGTTTTTCTTTGCAAAGAGACAGACACAAAGGAAAGAAGTTCACAGCATTTTGTAAGAGGCCAAAGATTAATGGAATATAAGTGTTTTAATCTTATGGAACTTTAGCATACTCAGTGCCAATTAATAATCATACGAGTTGATAACAATCAACACCTCAAAGAAGTTGCTTCACATCTTTCAACACCAATTTGTTATTCTGCACTAATTTGTTAGCAGTCTTTCTATTAAGTAAGATTCTTAATTAAATCAACTTTGATAATGTTTAAAAACCTGAAGGAGAAATACAGAAATTATCTATGTCTGTTTGAGGAAGAAAATTTAGTTACCTCTTAGTTTAACAAACTATGAGTTGGACATGAATGGAACATCTCAAGTCTCTGTGCTTCAGGAAATGCTTCTTTTTCTCTTTTAAACAGATGCCAATGAAAGTAAACTGGATTTGGATATTGACTGGCCTGGCATATTCAAACATGCTCAATCTGTTTCTAAGACTAATCCTTTCTGGAATGAACTGTCAGGATCCAACCCTTTTGTACATGACATAGCTGCTTCCAATAGAAATGAAAATAACAAGCGTCTTTCTATTTTAAAGGAAAAACCTTATTTGTTCTCTAAAATTTCAAGCAACAGGGACTCTTTGGATTCCTCAGGTGATGAGCTAGATATTGACTGTCTCCTAAGAAGGAATTCAGCAAGAAGATCTGGACGATCCAAGAGTGTCTCTGACTTCCTGGATATAGTTGATAACCAAAGATTTAATCCTCACAAGACAGCGCCTCAAAAAACTACAGCTTCTGATCTGACATGGCTTCAGAATGACCGCGAAGCCTACAAGATGGCTTGGCTGAGCCACCGCCAGCTCACCCGCTCCTGCCTGGATTTAGAAGCCATGAGCCACAGCCCTGGGTGGGCACAAACACAAGCTACAGACATTCATGTAGTTTGTAAACTGGATCACGAAGGTGGTTCAGTACAGCTACCTGACTCAGATATCAACATTCATGTCCCTGTGGGTCATGTGTTACCAGGAGAATTCCAAGAAGTTGGTTTAAAGGCTATCCTTAACCCTCCATTGTCATGCAACAATGAGCTGTCCAGCACAGTAAGTCCTCTGATAGAACTTACACTGAGCAACCTCAAAACGAGCGAAGCCATTTTCCTAGAAGTGAAAGTTGCAGCTAAAGTGAAGAATGATCCACTCAGCCAAGTTATGAGTGATATCGTGTGTTTCTTTAGTCTCAACAAAGAAGGACCTTTTAAGAAGCTAGAGAATTGCTATATATATCAAGATACCATACAAGTGAAGCTAACAGACCTAAGTCATGTAATGTATGCAGTGATTGCTGTACAAGCAAGCAAAATCCAGCCTCCAGCAACTAATGTGTGGGACTATGTCCACAGAACAGTCTCAGTTGGAATTTATGGTCCCAAATATATTCATCCATCTTTTACAGCAGTTTTTACAGTCTTTGGTCATAACTACATTCCAGGAAAACTCACGATTTGTGATATAAAAAAGGGGGGGAAGAGTATGCCTCCTGTGGTGTTTCAGCTGTGGGGAAAGCATACATTTCTTCTTGAAAAACCACAAGATCTAAATATTTCTTTGATATCCTGTGATCCAGACTTTCAAGTAAAAAAGGAAGATCAAAGCAAAAATATTAAAAAGGAGGAGTTGAAAACTGGTGAAATGGTCCGCCAACAATTCCTATTTTCCATGCTTGGATGCAGGGAGATGCATTTCTTTGTTTTCCTTGTTCAGATTAAAATCTTGAAAAGTAGCCAAGTAACACAGTTCCATGTTACAACTCCTGCTCCAGCTCCAAAATTACGTGGAATTATTAATAGGCCAAAGCGCTTACAAAACCGCAAAGAAATCAAGTCTGCACCATGGCTTTTGATACCAACAATAAAGTATCCAAAGTTTCAAGACAAAACTTTGAATGTCAATACTTATGGAGTGGCTTTGAAAACTGTGTTACGACAGAATAAGATTGACTATTTGCTGGAATATTTTAAAGGAGACACAATAGCACTGCTTGGTGAAGATAAAGTTAAAGCCATTGGACAAACTAAAATGAAAGAGTGGTATGTGGGTGTTCTCAGAAGAAAGATTGGTCTTGTACATTGCAAAAACATTAAAGTGATTTCTAAAGAACAAGCTATGGACACTGCTGATAGTGAGCTAACAACCAGGAATCTTGTTGAACAAATTGCATTGCCATTCAAAAAACTGACTTATATCTACTCGGTAGTTCTGTCTACAGTATCAGAGAGTGTTTATGATTGGAGGGCTTTAGCTGAGGTGTTGGGATACTCAGATATGTCTTTGGATGACTTTAATGAGGCACATATTGATAAAGAATCAGAAAGAGTTGCACATGTTGTGAAAAAGATGAAGCAAGACTGCCATGCTAACAAAAAAAAAAGACTATTTCTTTATGAACTCATTGTTGTAAGTATTGCATGAGCTAACTGGCTTGTTGGGAGTGTATTGCCAAGATATCACTTATTAGTAATGTAGGAACAAGAAAACATGATTCTGTATCTTTGCAGGATCTTTATAAACCTGAGTATATTACTAGAAGTTGTAGACACCAATAGGTGGAAAATACATCCAAACTCTCATGAAGGAAAATACTTTGATCAATTAATTCTGAACAAGCTTCTGTTAATGCTCCATGAACTGTGTTCATCTAGTAGGTTGACTAAGATGACTTTTTTGGTTTTTAAATAGTCATGATTGAAACTGTTTTGTCATTTGTCTTGGTAAATTGCTTTCCTGAGAAATTCACATTCCTGTTGTGAAGTATTCATAACATTACTATACTGTGGGAATTCCACTCTACATACATAGATATAGATAGATATCATCTATATGTCATAGGTATATATGATTCATATGTTTAAAAGGGACATCTTGATCCAAATGTTGAGGGCCAGATTTTCTATCCACACCTTACAACTTCATAGTCAATGTTGTAGTGGTCTAAGAAGGATATTGCAAGTATTTCAGTATGTATTTTCATGGACCTCATTTGTAAGCTGTTGGACAACTTCTATGTGACTAAACACTGCCAAATATGAATCAAAAGTTTATTCTAATTATTTCCAGGCAATAAGTGGCACTATTAACAATCCTGTTATAAATGAAATTCAATATCATATATATCATATTAGAGATGGCGCAAATTATATCTACTACACATAACAATTCTAATTTACTTACTGATCTGTGTGCAAATTAGTTTGAAATTAATGGTCACTTAATACTCTCCTTGGCTCTGACAGAAAAGTTGACCAACCTGTTAAGGGACAGAAGATAATTAAATTTCTGATATGAAAATAAAATGTTACAAAAATGGATGTTTAAAAACTCACATTGTTGCTATTCATCTAAAGCCTTTTGACTATCCTGAACCTCAACTGAGTTTACCCCAAAACTAGTCTGTCCCCTTTGAAGTGTTGACAGAAATTTCAGCAGGATTCAGAAAGTTTTGGTAGCAGTGTCCACTTATAATGCTTAAGAAGACATCAAAGTTTGTGGAATAAAACTGAGCCACTATGAAGTGCAGCAAAGTCTGTCTCTCTTTACAAAAAGGAGAGGGGGTTCTAAATGGGAAAATTGTCAGAACTTTTAACTGAACACAGTGAAACACAGTTCATTACAAAACAGGCAAAAAGTGGGGCATAATTAGATTAAGCTTATAGAATCATAGAACAGCTTGGGTTGGAAAGGACCTTAAAGATCATTGCATTCTAACCACCCTGTCATGGGTAGGAGGCCTTTCACTAGACCACGCTGGTCATGTCCTGTTTTGTGAGATTTATGTATTTTTGCTAGAAAGTGCCAATACAGGTTCTTTTCTTTATAGAACTAGGTATAAAGCTAGATGTCATCCATGCAATTTTCAGTTACTTCTTTCAAGAAATGTCAATTTTTTGTGTTTTATCAGGTTCTTGCTTATCAGAGCAAATACAAACTGAACAACTTTGTTTCCAGTTTTGGGGAATTTTGTGCAATACACTGTAGTCAACTTCTCACTACTCTGTCTACCAAATTTCTATTGTTTGCTGTGAGGATTTTATTGGTTAATACTTTAAAAACCTCTGATTTCTGCAGAAATGATTGATATTTCAGTAAAAATAAGTGTCTAAAACCCAAACATTTCTGTATTTTGCTCTTGATTCTTCCCTGAAAACCTCAACAGTTTCAGTGGAATATTTTGTTGTTAATGTGAGAATGATAAAAATCCAACATTTATTTCTCCCATTAGGTTTTATCCAAACAAATAAAGAAAGAAGAATGCAACATATCTACATTTCAAAGTTTTACTCATTTAACTATTTTAATTTGAGTGTCATTAAATGCTCTTTTGGCAAGGAGAAGGGAAAGGTTTCATGTTTGCATTTCTCCTTAATGGTAAAAAAAATTGTTAGTTCTGTGGAAGGAGTAAATCAAACGGTGCTGGCCAATGTGATCAGTGATTTTCCATATAAAACCCTAGATTAAAGACCACACCTTAGTATAATAATGCTCAAAGTTAATTTTCATGTTTCATGTCATACTTCTAAGAAGCTAAATTTTTTTTTCCCAAATATTTTTGTTGGAGAAGTATGATTTCTTTCAGGATCTGTAAGCTTGGCAGGACCCACTTGACACTGGAATGCTGAAGCAGCTGAATGCCAGCTTGATTTTTTTCTTAAGCTCATGGGCATTTTTCCTCTGAAAGTGTTAGCATTTTGTAGGAAAAAACCCCACATATTTGTAAGAGCACAAAACTAAAAAAAAGTCTTCCTGTTTACATAGAAATGCAGAATAGTGCTAGAAAATGAAATTTAAATGTTCTGTTTGTAATTACTGGTGAAGGATCACTAATAAAAATCATTGTTGCAGGCACTTTTGAAAATAGATTGCCAGGGATTAGTGGCACGTCTTACCCAGGACACCATCATCTTGACTGCAGCTGTCAAGCTTGGCAAAAGCTGGCGGGAGCTTGCGGAGAAGTTAGCCCGCCTCACAAAGCAGCAAATAGAGGCTTATGAAGTGCCCCACCACGGGAAAAATGGAGCAGTAGCTCTGGAGGTAAGGAGCTGGTGTAACAGTGCATGCACATCTTCCCCCCTGCACAAACACAGTGAGGGACCTTCCTTCTTCCTGGTTTTGTAGGCTTCTTTCCTTTCGCACTGTCCAGTGAAGGTCTTTGCTCCTGTCTTGAGTTTCAGGGCTAGGTTCAATCCCTTTTTGTTGTCCTGGCCACTTGTTAACCTCTGCTGTCATTTCAGACAGTGAGGAGGACCAGCTGGTCCTTGCAGGAGCCACTTCTAATCACACTCTGTACAGCTTTTGCTGTTTCCACAGAAAGGAAAAAAGTAAACTGACTTCTATCATTAATACTTTTCTGTGCCAGAGTGACACTTTTTGTAATTTAGCTTAAGTATCATGAGAGGAGGTTGGAAGCCCTGACACCAATTTTACTTCTGATGTATGAATGTGGCAAATATGTCCTTTAAGCTTATAGTTTTTCAGGTAGATCATGGTTTGTTTTTTGGTTTTTTTTTTCCTTTGCAAAGCATTTTTCTTGTACAGAAGTTTGAGCTTTGTATAAAAGTCAATTTATCCTCTCAGATGTATTTTAGTGCATACAGATCTAAGGAGCAATTTAGGTACCTAATTAAATCTCTGGTGCTATTTGAGGCGACCAGAGATACTCATGGCATCCATGCAATGTCACATATCCTACAAGACTTGGGGTGGACACTTGTCCACCCTGATGAGCTGAGGGTCAGCCTCTGCCCCTAGCATGTCTTTGCCTGCCCTTCTCTCCTCTGACACCAAAGCATGCAGTAGCTCCATTCTTTCCCACAGAGTTATGTGCCAATGACTTCTAGGTCAGGTTCCAGACTGGTTTTTACTCTGAAAATCCCTTTTTTATGAGCATTGCTGAATGATCTTTCTGACTTGAGAACTTACATTCAGGCTTGACTCTCCCTCTGCCTATACCATCATCTCCTGATTATTGCAGGTAATATACATGATCCAGACTACATTCCCTCTCTTTCACCTCTTAGTGTCAAAGGAATTGCTATTTCCTATTCACAGGTTCACAACTACTCAAGATAATTTTTTCTTCCTTTTTCTATTTCCCTGTAGCTGATTCTACTTATTCCCTGCAAAACCTTTCCTTTCCACTCCTTTCCACTGTCTGAATCCAGTGCATCTGTCATCTTGTTTTCATTTGCTTGGTGATAACTATCAAGATATTTCTGCTCTAATCATGAACTACTACCTCTTATTCCTTTTGAATGTTCTGCCCTCCCTCCCCAATCAATATTTCATCAAAATTCTATGTGTTTGCTCATGTGCTCCTGCACTTGTCAACAAAATTGTCTTCATAATTGTTGTTTGCAATCACTGCTTCCTTCTCAGATCCAGTTTTTCTCTTTGAGCTATTTTGTGTATTTTTTTTTTTTTTCTTTTCTGGGTACTTCAGTCTGGATGCACCTTCCTCCAATTTTTTCTCATAAAATTATCAGCCTTTCCAATCCTGTCTACTCTCTTGGTTTTTTTCTTTTTCACTGTTAGGCAGTCCTACACTTTTGTTCTTGTTACTAAGCTTTCTGTGTATGGCTAACAAGCCCCCAGCTTTCTACAGAAGGAATTATTGACATGAACAATATACAACTTTGCTGGTCTCCATGTTATTTGAGAATGTTTCCCCTTTGCTGATAGAAATAAAACAATCTTATAACTGTTTTTCCAGCATCATGCCTATTTATTTTTATATTGAGAAAAATTTTAAATAAACACTTACTTTGCTTTGATAGGGTTTTGATATTCCATGAAGCCTATCTTCTACCTCATACACCTACTAATTTGTTTTCAAGAGGTTTTTTATATTATTTTTATGGCAACCACCCAGAAAATTCTCTGGCTTTCAGTGACAATGTCTACTGACAAAACATAGTACATTCAAATTCATCATAATTGAAAGCCCATAATACAGTAACCTCTATTTTTTCAGAGAACATTCAACAAGCAGTCAAAGATCAGAATTTTTCTGTATTTCTGTGTCATTTCTCAAGGATTATAGTGCGCCTATGGGAGATTATTGGTTTTGGGTGAGCTTTATAATTGTACTTGTCCTCATGGGTGTGAGTTCAAAGCACAAGGTTTCTAGCACTGGTGTCTCATGTGATCACTCAGTACCCTCAATGTCCTCTGAATCTAACCTAAATTTCAGTTCTTTCTAGTGAATATCAGTGCTTTCTCCTGACCTCTAACTTTTCTACTGATAGTAGTTTTTTGCCTTAAAACCTGAACTCCAACAAAGCTGGGGGAGGTTAATAAGTTTTGACTAGCTATTGAGGATTATATGAAATTATTAACTGGTTCATTCCCCACCGAAGATTGATTGGTTAAAAAATGTTTCTGCTTTTAGACTTCATGTTTTTCTTGGTGGAAGAAACCTTCTTGCAGATGATCATAGAGGCAACTTGAGGTACCTACAATTGGTGCATAGATTATGAAGTGTTTTTCATCAGTAAATTCCAAATCACTTTGCTGTGGATATAGGTGTCCTTTCTGTGTCCTCAGCAGAGAGAGTGGGAAAGAGGGAAGACTCATGCACACAGCTGAGATGAGACTTGACCAGGATGCTGCAGTGATTTAATATTTTGCCCAAGATTCTGCTTTGATACAATTCAGGAATTTTGAATGCAATTCAGTTCACCCATTGCATTAGAGTACGTAGCTGTGGAGAAGAATCTACCTTAGAACCACTGCTGTGTTTGCAGTACTAGTTTAATGTGATGAGTTAATTATGCATCAATGGTGGCCAGTTTGTAAACCTGCATTCTCCTTTTTCTTCATTCTTTCTTTTCTTTTGCCTTAGATTTAAAAAAAAAACTAAATCAGTTGTGCTAGATTTGAGGAAACCAAGGTTTGTGTTTAAACATATTTCAGCCAATTGTCTTATTACAATGTCAGATTGACTATTAGCATAAGTCAAAGCATAACATCTTTTCATATTCATTGGCTTTTCACATTCTAGTGAAGACAGAAGACTGTACCCTCATTCTTTAAACATCTGAGTCTAACAGGAATGTAAGAAAAGGAAGAAAGAGACCCAGAAAAAGCATAGCCAGTAAGAGAATTTCAGGAGATAACAGCTTTTCTTGTTGGCTACTTTGGCTATCAAGCTAAAAATAGGAATACAGAAACTTTCTGGTCCCAACATAAGTACAACAGTGATGACCTTCTTTAGTTCATTAAAATATGTTATAATATCTAACATTTACAGTAGTACATTAAAAACTAATTTTCAACTTAGCCTTTTAAAAAAAACACAAAAAAAAATCATAAATCTCCTTCTTCCCACCTACCACCAATGTACTTTTTTCCTCTCCTTCTGTAACCTTATGGTTATGACTTAAGATAGACTTGCTTAAAGGAAAAATGATGATACCTTTCTCTCCTGTAGACCAAAAGTGAGAAAATTCACTGAATGTACAGGCACTTTTTTATTACTTAAACTCAAGGTAGAAACTAGACTAATCAGACTGTGAGATGGTAAGTTTAGACTACACTAGTCCAATGAGACTGTGGGGCTGTAAGTCTATTTTATTTTTTTCCCATTTGTGTATGCCAGCAGAATTTGAGGGAAATGTTTACAGAAACAATGACAGAATCAGTCTTGGGTAAGCTGAAAGATCTCACCAAAAATATGGAGAAAAGTTCAAAGATATGAGCAATGAAATTCTCCTCCTACTCAGTTCCTCTAGGGATCAAGTAAATAAAGCTTAAATTAAGGAAGTAAAGCTTTATGTTGTGTACTGTTTGTAAATTAATAAGATAATATTGAGGAAATAACTAATTTACTTCAGAATTACCCTTCACAACCATAAAAACTGGGAGGTTTTTTGATAAAAGAGGAAAAAATGCTAAAAATATTCTCAACTTCCTGGTCACTTTTATGTATATACATAAATGTGCAGTAATCAGTCCATATACATTTATTACTATGCATAGGTATGTCCCTGTTAAAACAGTGACTGACAGAACCTTTTAGGAGAGTCATGGATTTCTTTGTGGATTTGTGCATAATCCCTGCAACTGTTAACTCAATTGCTGTTTGCAAAATCTTTATTGCCAATAAGGAGAGGGAAAACAGAATTTTGATTGCCCAAGTAACATTTGGAAAATCAGTAGCTGGGAAAATAATTTTTTTGTTTGTTAACTGAGCAAATTTACTCAGCACTTTGAAAGATAGAAGTCCAGCCTGGTATCTGAATCACACTGCTATTACTTAATGTTGTTAGACCAATGACAAATTACACCAGCTGAGGATCTGGTCTATTTGTTTTTCATAAACCAAATAAATTATAGTTTGAAAAACAAAAAAGCATTGGTAACCTATGTTTTATTTTCCTTTGTTTCTTGCGGGAAATTTTAAAAATGTTTTGTCCTTATTAAAAAAATTATAAAAATTTTTTACTTGCCTGTTTAAGACTGTTTGGGTGCTTTTCTCCCCTTTCTAGAAATAGATTTTACAGATAAATCATGTTAGAGTCATAGAATCATTGAGGTTGTAAACGACCTCTAAATTCAGCTAGTCAGACTGCCTAATTAGCTCAGCACTTCCAAGTCCACACTAAACCGTGTCCCTAAGTACCAACATGTGCTTAAATTCCTCCAGGAATGGTGACTCAACCACTTCCCTGGGCAGCCTGTTCCAATGCCTGACCTACCTTTCAGTGAAGAACTTTTTCCTAATATCCAATCTAAATTAATTAAGGGGACATCATTCTGCTCCCCATCCTTGTTTTCCAGCTCAGTGGAATGGATACCCAGAGAGCAGCTGATCTGGGTATTTTAACCCTGAGGCAAGGGAGGCATTAAGTACCTCAACCTTTGCCTCATCCTTTGCCACAATGTTGGCCCTGTATCCAATAAAGGTTGGAGATTCTCCTTAGCCTAAGAATGCTGATGTCTTTTTAGAAGCATCTTTTATTGTCTTTTAAGGCAGTAGCCAGATTAAGTTTCTGCTTCTGTTGTCAGAAAACATTTATGAAAGGTAAAAAGCATGTTTAAAATTTTCAGGCTGAGTAGAGAGACAGTAGGATGCTGATTAATGCGACAGTAACCATCAAAAGCACAACCAAATAGGGAAAATGTTGCTGGTTTGTCTTGGTTTGAAAAGACAGCTGTCCACTAAGGAAGGCAGGAGTCGTCTTTGAAATGGAAAATGTAAAGCCCCTCCCTCCAAATTATTATAATTTTGAAATTAAGAGCCTCTCAGGCAAAAATATGAGAATAATAACAGTTCTTTACTTGGAAAATTAAATATACCAATGCAATAGTACAAAAAAGAAAACAAACCACTGACAGAGTCAGAATACAACCGGACACCCTGTGGGTGAGGGCGTTGGTAGCAGTCCTGATTAAATGATGGCTACAGTCCTCCTGCAGTGCCAGATGTGGTTCTGTTGGAGCAGTGATCCTGTAGAAGGCTGTAGTTTTCCTCTAAAGGTCCAGTGGTGGTGTAGATGGGCCTGGTCTTCTTCTGAGAATCCAGTGGAGAAGACAGCTGCTCTTGGAATCCAGTGGGAAAAGGCTGTCTCTGGTGTTCTAAAGCTCTGATTATCTCAAAGTAGGAATGCTTGACTCCTCCCTCTGGGTGGAGCTTCTCACAATGGGATGATGTAATTTTATCAGTCACACGGTGACACTTAATGACCCATTAACAGAAGATATCAACCCAGAGGGAGGATTGGTTCTGGAAGAGACAAAGAAAACTGCTCAATTAACAGAAGACAACTGCCACACCTCTAACAGATAAAAAGTAGAATGCACATCCCCATCCTAAGATATGGATGTATGCACTGCAAAAGAGGAAAAGTATTTTCCTTCCACTCTTGTTCTTTGACTTATAGTTTCAGGCAAGGATATATTTTGATTTGATGATAATCATCTGTGTGAAGAATTTATCTATTATTTACCTCTCTGAGAATTTGAGAGTTTAATAGAAATAATGTAAATAAGATTACTGGAGTTTTGATATCAACATGCCTCTTTTTATAAAGCATTTCAGCATGCCTAGTGATCAAACACTTATTTTCTCTTTTCTTTTCTGTGACTTTTCAACTATTTAGCTATTTTTTTCTCAATAATTAAATTTCTGCTAATATTTTTTCTCCTTTATTTTCAGATGATGTGGAAACCTGCATATGACTTTCTCTACACTTGGGCTGCCCATTATGGAGATGGTTATAGGGATGTCTTACAGGACCTACAATCAGCCTTGGATAAAATGAAAAACCCAGTAACAAAACAGTGGCGAGAGTTAACTGGAGCTCTGATTCTTGTGAATTGCATGGAGGTGTTAAGAGCAAGTGCCTTCTCCAAAATGGAGGAAGAGTAATGGACAAAATATTTTTGGAAAATCTGTTAGGAAACTATACCTGTGTATACACTTTATTTGTGTATTTATGTTTCAGAGACACTTGCAGAACATGACAGAATGAAGTTTGTTTTAACTGAGCTGATGTTTGGTCTAGCCCTATGGTTCTCAACAACAGATTGCCAGAGCGTGCTAGTGGCTTTTGAGTACGTAAGAAAAGAATGGGGAATTAAACTAATGAGATAACAAAAATGACTTGTATTCTATGGGGTATTTTCTAAAAGGAGCAATTTCTGATTGCACTGACTTCTAGGCAGAGATCAGTTTTAAAAACAGAACTATTCATGGATGAGTTTATCCTGTGGAGCCTAGGTTTAAATTGTTTTCAGTAAAAAATCTAAATATTTAATACATTTAATATTTGGTGCTCAAACACCTCAACTCTAATTCAGTGGGTGCAGGTTAGCCTACAAAAAAACCTTTAGAAGTGTTTCATCCTCAAAAATAATCTAATTGTCTCACCACACAGGAATTCAACAGTTCCTGGGAAAATAGGTGTGTGCTGCATATACTCAAAAAATAGGTGTGTGCTGCACTTTTCCAAAAACAGCTTCTGGTATCTATTTTAAAGAGTCAAGAGAGACAGAAGATAAAAATCTCAAAAGTGTTTGGTTTTGATATATTTGTTGATGTAACTCAACAGGGTTTTGTCTCTTTTCATATATTTTTTTAGTTTATATATCTGTAATTTTTTTCTACATTCTGCTGAATGGAAATTCCAGAAAATTCCAGAAGCCTTCTTTATGCACACTGTCCATCCCTCTGATAATTTTTGTAGTCCTTCCTTGTCGCTTTTAGGTAAGAACATAGGGGAAGGAGACTTTGTAGGTACAAGGACTGGAAACAATTCATACCCGCATCTGTTGATTGTTTTCTTCTACCTCACTGGATATGGAAGATGACTATTATTTTCTCAAAAAACGTTAACAGTGGAGCGCTTTTAAGATTAATTTATTTATGGAGCAATGAATAACTAGTCATATGTTTGAAAAAGAACCCTGCTTGGATGCCGTCAGTAAAAATTTTCTAAAACTGAGTAGCTTATTATAAGTACAGAAAATACAGGCTGAATAATACTTACAGAATGACCAAATTTTTAAATATAATTTTAATGTATTAAATATATATTTTTTGTTAAGTGGTAGATCTAAAAGGTTAAATCCATTTTGAGCTCCTTTGATCAACATTCATTCAGAAACATCAGCAAATACTCAAGACAACCAGTTGAAAAGAGAATTGGCATTCTGCCATCACTTGTGGTTGACAAGACAAAGCCAAATTCTTTGAGGAGTCGCACAAAACAGCACTTCTGCCCAGAAACTGCACTTTCTCTGTTGTCTAAGTTCATTTCTAAAAAGGGAGGTTTTGCCATTCTAAAATAAAACTACATTTAGACATTTTTCTTCCCCTCTCCTTTCCTCTAACCTTTTTCTTTTCTACTTTCATTAAGCTTTCCCAAAGTACCCATAGCTCAGGAAGGAGGCTGAGGAAGGAGTACTTGACTGAATAATAGGTAAATTAATTCACCAGAAAGTCTTCTAGCATCAGGGCATTTACTGAATTAATATTTGTGCAAGTTATCTGCTTTCAGAGGACTTGCCCCTGATTTGCAAGACAATGAGGAATTCAGTCCATAGAGCACTATCTGCTATTGTGGATCAAGGAAAGGTGGAGAAAAAGGAGTCATATTATCAAAGCTTCCTGTTGTTTCAGGTGCCAGCACTGATTTTATGTCTTTCCCCACACTGTTTTAAGAAGAGCTGTAGAAAAAATATAATTACAATATTATTATATTTATTAAATATAATAATGATGTTACTCTTGTGATCTGCACATCATTGCAGAGCCGGCTTGTCCTTCCTTCTTCAGGTAGTGAAACCCCCAAAAGATGAGAAAGTGGTGCTAGGTAAGGAAAAGGTATAAAATATATTAATAGACATCTTTAAAAGTAAAAAGACATATGCAAATATTAAGAACTAAAACAAACTCCCTGAAGGTTTTCTAGACTGCTTCTGCTTCCACTTTAGACCCTGCTCATAGCAGACTGTGAAACCTGAACAGGACTTGGTAGTGGTGCAACAGGCTACACACCAGATCTACTTAAAACCTCAGGGAAATATAATTTTTGCTCCCTCAGAGCTGAAATATCAGAGGACATCACAAAGCAAATCTTTCAGCTTCACTAGGCTGTCTTTCTATCTGCTTTTCATGCATCCCACTAGGCCATGATCCCTTGTTTATAGCCCTGTTAAATAAATTTTTAATACCTTTTTTCTTTCACTTTTTTCCCTTTTTTGTTAACCTGGCTGCAACAGCTAAGTAGCTCACTTAAATCTGTTACTGAAGATGAGTCTGTGCTTCCATCCTTTTTTTGCACATCTGAATTTTTTATGTTTAGTAAATGTGTGTTTACTTTCTTTTTCAACAGGACATGTAGTAATTCCTTTGTTCAGTGCTGTATTTTCCTGTTGTCAATACTAGTCAAAAGACTGGAAAGGGCTACCACATGCTACCAATTATCAAATATAAAGGATAGGCCGCCCAAAGCCATTGAAGCTGAAGGAAAATCCATCCCAAGAAGGTAGTCAGTAGTCATGGTCCCAGGAGAAGGCCCCAGGGACCAGAGGCTGTTGCCTGTAACTCTCACGGCCAGGCCCTTTCTTTGCTCTGAAAACTTTTTCTGTCGTGAACAAGAGTTGAATTTGGCCCAGCAAATTTAGCAAATATTGACTCAGTGAGTCAGTGATCTCCTTAGCTTGCGGAATTATGCAACATGTCCTCCAAGTATATTTCTTTAAAGGAAATTTATATTTACCTGTAGTTGTGCCGTATTGCAGGGCCTTTGACTTCTGGTTGCTAATTGCACTTCCATTTTTGCTTTAAGCTTCTGCTCATATGAATGAAATGTGCACTCGTGCAATATTCTGTTTACTTTAGCAGCCCACACTGGATATATTTTTTAAAAAAGGTATTAAAACCCCATATTTTATTTAGTGGTCTAGTATTCAAAACCACAAAATGCCAGCCCAGAGTGAAAGCAGCTGCACTCAACAGCAGCACACATCTTGGAGCACATGGCTTAGGTAAACATGCTCTGTTCTTGACCTTTTTTCTTTTCCTCCCACCCTGTCAAGAGAGAACAGCTTTCCCATGAGCCTGCACACATCCTTTCTTTGGTTTCTTTAAAGTGAGATGAGATTAACAGCTCCTTGGGAGGAGACAAGGAAAAATACCAGCCGCTGGTCCTTGCCTTAAATGACCCTCTGTTTCCTAATTTCTTTACACAGAAAACAGCTGTGTCAGCCAGTTCCATTTTCCTTTGAAGTTGCAGGCAGAAAACCCCCCTCACCTTCCTTCATCCTTCTATCCTCTGAATAGGTGCTTCTTAAGCAAATGAGCAAATGAAATTTGAGTGCATCTGTTGCTTTATGAATCCACCTACCCATGAGAACTGGAATAATCGTTCCCTTGGTTGAGTCAGCACTGGAGTGGGGCAGACACCTTCCTCAGCGGGCAGTGGCAAGGAAAACCTGTCACTCATGCTAAAAATGCTATTTTTCAGTGAAGTTAGAAGCCATTCATCTTGCAGTGCAGAGGCTTCATGCCATATAATGACACAGTGCAGTGACATATTTCTGAACTAATAACAGTCAAGACTGGAGAGAAAAGGCATATTATTCCCCCTGGAAGTTCCAGCCCTCCAGCTGGGTTTGGGGAAAGGTTCAGTTTCTTAGGTTTCACTTGCTTTTTTTGGAAAGCAGAGGTTTAGGGAAGGTAAAGGAAGTGTCTTTTAATATCTAAGTAAAGGGCTACTCCCCAAGCCAGGCTCCGAGCAGCAGGCTGGATGCCAAGACCAAGCTACATGTTATGGGGTGTTCTTTGTGGAATTGTTTAGGGAAGAAAATGGGAGGAGGCACCAGCCATCTTTCTTCCTACTGAGAACAGAAAAATGTGGGAGTGGATAAGTGTTTATTAGTTAATTTTTTTCATTAAAAACACTGTTTTTCACAAATCCGTTCTAAGCTGTGGGGAAAACAAACACTAAGCAGTTCCAAAGGAACAACTCAGTTTTGTTGTGTTGAGCCATCTCTAAAGACCTATTCCTGAAGTATCTCTAGGCTCAGTAAGTGATCCAGCTGACAATGACCTACTAAATAACAAAGGCAATTGTGTAGAACTGCAGATGACAATGCTGTATTCACATCTAAATCCAGGGATCCTGCTTTTTCATCATCTAACATCTTGTTCAGCTATGGACAGCTGTACCAAATAGGGATATAAATCTATGCTGTTTTGTTGTGTTTGTGTCATAGATATGAAGTTTTCCTGTGAAAAGACAGGAATAAAATAGAGAGCAAAGGGTTGTATTTCCCACCATGCCCGGGAAAAGACTGTAGCAACTTATATTTTTCACATTAGTGTGAGATACCAACCATTAAATTCTTTGGCAAGGCCCTTGAAAAATTGTAGATATGTAAAGGAAATGTTAGTCTAGTGTGAGTGGTAACCACTGTTCTTGAAAGATATGTCACCAATAAGTATCTACAGACACTATGGGATATTCAAATAACTTGTGATTATTTTTAGTACAAAAAGTGCCATTTTCTGTTTCTTGCCAATGTATATATATATGTAGATAATATATTTTTTTAGCTTACAGTATATATTTTTAAACAAAATAAACAAAATTATATTGTCCACTGGAATCTCTTGAGAATTTTATTTTGATTTTGTACGACTAAGAAGAGCAGAGAAAGAGGTCATGAGGTAAAAGATAATGGTTCAGTAAATACCAGGAAATGAGCAATGTCTTTATACACATTTCTCTTCATTTATAAATCCTATGTGTTGCAAAGATGAATGCACACTCCTTTTACTGTGTTCATAAGCAAAAGTTGTTTGCTGATATCACTTCCAGGAACAAAATTATCTCACTTTTGAGAGTAGGGCAGTCTGTGGCTGTTGCAGTGGAAACCAGTGGAAACTATATTCTTCTTACAAGAATATGCTCTCAATTTTTTTTCTCTGAAAAAGGATCGAATTCTTATGATCCTTCAGTGTAAGTTAGACCGGAACACAGCCTGTGTCTTAATTTTATGGTTCAGATTTAGATTTGAAGCTATGTATCAGGAGTTACTGTATGAACTGAAAGGTCAATTTACATATCCATTCTAAATCCCAGGTTTTAATATGTAAATGAAGTGGCCTGTCAGGAATAGGGATGGCAGCACAATAGCCCTAGGAGAGCAGACAAAGATGAAGTGCATTCAGCTCCACTCCACAACTTTAGAGCCTTAAACACTATGTTTGTGTTAAATTCAGTACAAGACCTAAAATACAGCCTTGTCAAATATAACACCCTGAGAACAATGGGAATCCAGAGTGACAAGGGGAAAGTGAATATGCAATGACTGCTCAGTCTGTCTCATAAGAATGAAGTTATCAGGAAATGGGTTTAAAAATAAACAAAAGTACCCTTTCATACAGTGAGGAATTGGGGAATGTGTTGTTATGGGATATTGCTGAAGACAAAATCACATGTAGGTGCAAAAGAAAACCAGTCAAATTTACAGAGAAAAAAAAATACCTAGTGGATGTGGTGGTTTGTCTATAGCCACCAGCTTCATATAAAACAGAATTGGATACTGAAAATGCAGCAGGAAGAAATACTACCCTCCCCTTGTCCTATTTCTCGCCATTTCCTCTAGAGACTGGATCTGGAGTGTTTGCTCATGTGCTCCTGCACTTTTCAACAAAATTTTCTCCATAATTGTTGTTTGCAATCACTGCCTCCTTTTCAGATCCAGTTTTTCTCTTTGAGCTATTTTGTGTATTTTTTTTTTTTTTTCTTTTCTGGGTACTTCAGTCTAGATGCACCTTCCTCCAATTTTTTCTCATAAAATTATCAGCCTTTCCAATCCTGTCTACTCTCTTGGTTTTTTTCTTTTTTACTGTTAGGCAAATTTAAGCTTTATTTACTTGAGTGGGCACATGCCTGCTCTCACCCAACCCTTCCTGCACTCTTATAATCACAGACTCACATGGTCCTCACACACCCCAGCAGGCTCCTTTCCAGCACCTGCCTCCCTTCTGCCCCAGTTCAGGCACCAGTTCCTCAATTTATTTAGCAACGACCATGGCCCTTCTCCAGCTCTGTGGCCTTGTGGCTACAGAGTTCTGGACTGAGCTGTGATCCTCTGACATGCTGCCTCTGGCAATGGGGTCACTGATAGGGGAGCACAGTTCTCAACTTTAGGCAGGGGGACATCAACCTAGCAAGACTCCTCAGGGCTGGCCCTGCCCCATGAACTTTCTTTTCTCTTGGAATCCAATGAAGCCTTATTTCATGCATCCGAGGGAAAATCATGAAGATGAGAAAGGATGAGTGGGGGAAAGGATTTTGAATAAAATTTTAGACAAGAAAGCTCATTTCTTAGTTTTACTCACAAGCAGGAAAAGTTATTTTTAGAGTCTGAAATGATTTCATATAATGCCACCCTCTGTTCTTCCTACAAAAGGCTCCATTGCTATTAACAAAGGAATTTTAAAATACCAAACAGCCAATGGATGATTTAATAATGCTGCTTATAAAACTAATTGTGTGTAACTGAAAAGCTCTCCCTGGGGTCCCATTTGCAGGAGGGTTAAATAGGATTATCAAATCTAAAAGAATAAAAAAGATAAAAAACTCCCAAAGCCCTGAAGCCCCAGGAAGAAGGAGTTGGGGCATTTTGCTGAATAAATTATAGACCTCAGTCAGTAGTACCAGGGGATTATCTCACAGAAAGAGTAATCTGAATTGGTTTCATATGCCTGCAAACTTCTTTAAAGGTTTTAGGCCAGAAGCTTGATTTTCATACACACAAAGAAGTCTTTTCACCTGGGGACCTCCAGCCAGCATGACTTCAGTGGGAAGCTGTTTACCCTTCATGTCAGGGTATGTTAAACATAACAAACTACTGTAGAAAACCTAAGGGACCTTATCTTTCTTTTTTTTTTTTTTTTTTTTTTTTTGCCTATAGAAGCAGTTCTATATTGCTCCATAAAGCCAAAGTGATAGTGTAGCTGAGATGAGGAGCATGGGAGTGATCAGTGCAGATCCATGTGGAGGCTGTCTGGTATAATTTTCCATCACAGATCCTGGCTGGAATTGTTCACATCAGCCCATGGAGGCAGAGACCTCTTTGCAACCCATGCTACAAGCCTGCCTCCCCAGCTTTTTCGATCCCCTCAGACCTTCTTGCCCCTCTCCCCAGAGGTGTCCTCTCCTCAGCCTAGCAGGCAGTCAGTCATTATAGACCCATTCCACCTCAAACCTCAGCTGCTCTCCCTCACCCACTGCTCTGGGTTCTGGGAAATGAGATACCCATCTCCTCTGACCCCTTGTCCTCTGTACTTTCTTCTTTCTCCAAAGCTTTTCCTAAGCTGGACAACCACTTCCAACAGCCTGAGCTCCCTGGGCTTTCTGTGAGCCTCTGGGAGCTGCTCTCCAGCTCTTACCTGCCCCGTGCCCACCCCATTCCAGCCCTACAGGTCCTTGCAGGGTTGTCACAAAACCATGACAACCCTGCAAGGACTTACTGCTGCTCGACCTCTGGCCAGTTGATGCTATGCTCTCCTGTTAGCGCCACAAGGACTGAGCACAGCCCTTTGTTTGCCTCTGTGCTCAGGAACAGACTTCAGGAGCCAGCCCCTGATGAGACTGAAAACAGCATAGATACAGGCTGCCTCAGCCAAAAAATCTGCCCACAGATGACTTTGAAGGCAAGAGAGATGAATATATCCAGACAAATATCAAAAGAAAACACAGAATCATGGTAGCTGTGTCCTTTAATAAACAGAAACCAAAGACAAAATATGAATTTTGACCCTAGGCTAAAGACACTTTCTCACAGCTTTTTGGTTTCTTTCTGTTTTATACATTTTTAATTAATTAGGTGGAGATATTTAGGAGAAGCATAGTAGTTAAGGCAAGGACTTTAACCTCAGATGTCTTTTGTCCTTTTGAAAGACTTCTAACAAGCAGGATTTTACTTTGGAGATTGGGTTGCATAAAGGTAAGCACTGCTGACTCAGAAACTCAGCATGTTAAGAACAATGTTGACAGACTGTTGCATTTCTACAGAAGTTTGTGCGAGGTTACTTTACCAGAGAAGGAAAATATAACAAAATACAGGATATGGAAGACACAATAATTAAAACCACTCCAAGATATTAACAGCCAGTCAGCACACTTCAAGCCTCACATATTTCAAGTCCTCTTCAGTTTATTTTTGCCTACTTTAAAGTACATCTGTAGAGAAGAGGAAGGTAAAAGAGGAGAGAGTGGAAAAAGAGAGGTTATTGTTACTTGAATGATTATGATAGCTATTTGTACTACATGAGTGGCTGGTTTGAAGCTGAAGATTGACTGTGCAGTGATCTCCAGTAATGAAAAGGGAGGAAAAGCACAGGAAGAAAAAAGAGGTTTGGAAATAATTTTTTCAAGATTGCACAAAGAATATCTCCAGGACCTTTCTAAATTCTTGCTCAGGTCTTATCCATGAAGCATTGATACCTTAATAGTTATGTGAGTTATCATGAAGATGTATAGTAAGAAATATCTGTGATTTTTCACAACAAGGTTCATGGGTTCTTCCAGGAGCATTTTCAGTCTATTCATGTTTTTGTCATACAAACAGACACATATTCTTTACTCAGCCAAATTGTGGGCATTCTCTGCACATGAGTGTTACGGTGAGCTCCTGGACACCCTTTTGTCCCCCCTTTCCTAGGGCCTCTGTGGCTCTGATCATGATAAGCCCTGAATCCTCCCTCCTGCCCCAACGGGGTTGGCGGGGAGCCAGGAGAGCCCACCCTGTCCAAAACCTATATAGACCCCTGAAACTTCCTGCTCTCTCTCTTTTGCCCCGCTCTCCATGGACACCACAGAATAAAGAGAGCTGTTCCAACACCCTGGGTAAGGAGCCTCTTCTGAATACTTTTCCCTCTCCTGCTATTTCCTCCCCTCACAGCCCCATATCTCTGAGCTAGTCGGATTCATTCGGGGGGCTGCGTGGAGGGGGGGAAAACCATAGAAATAACAGTTGGCGCCCCAATGTCTGCTGCTCTGAGCCCACGAAGAAGCTGGACCCCCTATTTCGGTGGAAGTCAAAAGCTTTTGGGACAGTCAACTGCCCTGGTACTCTAGCTGCCTTTAAAAGCTTTGAGTCACGGGGGACAGTCGGGGACCTCTGCCTGAGTACCCCAGGAAGAGCCGACTGGAGAGGGAACCCCCAGAGAGGGTTTCACAGACGAATCCCGCAGTCACAGGCTTGGTAAATTCTCCGACGCGGCACCCGGGACCGCGCCTGGCTGGGAGAGGTTACCATAAGGGACTGCGGGGGGCTGCTTGCGGAAGGGGGTGCCAGGGCCCCACTGCGAGTAAGCGGGAACCGGTGGGCTGCGCATACCCACGTTCCAGGGGGAACAGGCACGGGACGAGAGGGCTGAAGCCGCCCTGGCAGCTGCGGGACGACCGCCCCTCCCCCTGTGCCCCCCCCGCTCGGGTTTTCCACGGAGGGAAATTCGAATAATTCGTGCTGTGTTATTAGCTCTGGTGGAGACTAGACCAGTGAAACAATTTAAAATCATGGGTACTAACATTTCACTGGAACAGAAGAGTATACTAATGTCGGAACTCAAAATGTCCCTCAGAC